TTGTCGTCCGGTGTGTTCTCCTCTTCCGGGGTGTTTTCTGATAATACTACCTCACCTTGTTTGGGCGCTTGGGGAGAGGTGTAGCTAAGGCTGGACTGGTTCCCAGGTGCGTTTGAGCCGCTATGGCCAGGCGCAACTCTGGGCATCCGGAGCTCCGTGGGGGGCCAGGATGACAAGTCTCTCGCCAGCCGCTCGTTTTCGTCGGGTGCATAGGGGCTCTTGCGATTCCTGACCTGTATTAACGTAGACGTGGGAGCCAGGTGGCCGGCGTTGCGGGGTAGGGGTCGGAGTGCGGGTTCCATACTGCTACGGATCCGTGTTGTTCGCCAATCGACAACCCCCCTATGGTCCGTGGAATGTTGCACCGCACTGATTCGAGCAGTGGCTGTTGGGGGCACCCGAGGTAGTTGCGTCGCGTGTGTTCTCTAGCCGGCTGGTACCGCGCTACTCACCCACGGACATTCAGATTTATTACCCTTAATCGGAACGAGCGTCGGAGTTTGGGACGGATTCCGGAGTTGTTGTAAAAACTCTGGAATCCGCACCATTTGATGGTCGAGGGAGTGGTGTGTAAACTCCGACGTATTTCAGGAGATAGGGCTGATAGGGTTTCAGACCTATAGGGGAAGTCTGGTATTGTTGGTGTTCACATGCTACGTGGCACGTGATGAGTGTGTTTCAGGTCATTTCAGGTCAGGGGGCGAGACGGCGAGCAAGAGATCGGTTCCTGAGAGAGTCCTGATGGTCCTGTGAAGGTAATGGTAGAAGAAAAACGAGATGAGCTGCACAAAGCCCTGTGGTTGTGAATCACCATGCACTCGTTTGGGACGACCGTGAGGGTCGAATGTCGTCGACGGTAGTGGTCTTGCCCCTGCGCAGACATGCACGGTTGAGAACTAATGGGCGCATTGCCCTCCTTTGTTTACTGTTGGAGCCGTGCGGCAGAAGTCCTGGGCGGACATGGCGGCCGTCCCAGGAGGTGAGGAGGAAGACCGGCCACCCACCGACCGGCCCGGCGGAGAAGAGAACCCGGTCGACGAAGTGGAGACGGCGGCAGAGGTCATCGAGGACCTACTTAGGGAGGGGCCGCTGGGGAGCCCGATGGAGCAGGGAGAGGAGTGGCAGGAGATGCCATTCTCCGACGAGCTGTTGCTGTCGCCTCCGGCATGGGATGTTGTGCTGGCACGAAGGAAGGCGAGGAGGAAGCCGTCAACAGGAGAAAGCTCCGCGCAGCCATCCAGAGGAGCAAATGCGCAGCCATCCGGAGGAGCGAATGCGCAGCCATCCGGCCAGGGGAAAGCAGCCCAAGAAGTGTGGCGGGAGCCGCGGGCGGAGGTAATCGACCGAGGCTTACTCCCCAGGTATCCACGAGCGTGGACTGGAGGATGTTTATGGCAGCTGCGTCGGAGGCAGCCAGAAGGGGCCGGGAGCCTCCATCGGAGGTCGCCACAAGGCGGAGCCCTGCGCCAGCGACGCGAGAGGAGGCGGGAGTCGCCTCGTCGCCACCACACCCAGAGGGGAGCTGGGCAAGACCGCAGGAGACAGGGGCACGAGATGAAGGCCACGAAGGTCACCTCTAGACCCTGCCCCGGCGCGGTGAGGGGACGGGCTGGAGCCCACCGCAAGGAGAATCCGGCCATACCCGCCATCCTGGTGAGGAAGCCGGCCGGGCCTTTGTACCGGCAGAGGCACTCCCCCACCCGGGAGCAGCTTCGACACGGGGCGGGGCCGGCATTCTCGCAGTTCGGATGAGCCATAATGATCGCCCCTCGGCTGCAGAATGACCAGTGGTACTGGTGCCTGGCATGCCAGGTACCCACAATGCACGCGATGGACCACCACGCGGAGTACCACTGCAGCATCTGCACCCTGACGTGGTGCCCGGTGCCTGGGTGTTCGACAGCAGTGCCCAGCGCCATGCTCTACCGGCTGCGGAGTCATCTGCAGACGGTACACCAACTAGAGCGGGACCACCACTTCGAGATGCCTGGGTGGCTGCAGCAGCGAGGCGCCAACAACCCCACTCATCGGAGGTCGACGAGCGGATACCTGCGGCTGCAGGAGGAGCAAGGCGAGGGCAGAAGAATGGCAGAGGCAGCACCACCAGCTCGCCCCATCACCCGGCCGGCCTGGAGAGACGGGCGGCCATTTGCATCTGTGGTGGCAGGCGTTTCGGCCAGGCCTGTGGCTGCTTCCTGGCCATCCCTGAAGCGGGAATCAAACGTTCAGGCGCACCGGAGGCATAAGGTGCATGCCTCGGGAGCTGCGACGCCCACCGCATCCAGGCGGCGGATGTCACCCGACCGCTAGAGAAGGTGAGCGACGGGAGGACCAGCGGCAAGGGAACAGGTGCCGCCCGAGAGACCGGCGAGAAGATGACCGATCCCCGCCGCTGAAGGACGAGTACCGTCATCCATCTCCCAGGTACCGCCCACGCCGACCTCGTCTGTGAGGCCTGCGGCAACAGCAGTGGAGGCACCGATGGCGGTAGGTGCCCGCATCACCAGGAGTACCAGAGGCTGCTGGCGACGATGCGCGCACTGGAGATGCCTGGGGCACCCCTTGAGGGCCTATCCAGAACATCACCTCGGAGCAGGTCAATGAGTTTCTGAGGTTACTCTTCCAGCCCCCAGCCGACCTCCCAGCGTGGGACTACCCAGGCCTGACCGACCCGGACGGCGGGCCAGCATTAGACCGGCTGGATAATATGGAAGTCTTCCAGCTGCGTCAGGCACAGGCCTGGAGTAATGCTCAGCAGCGTCGCACCGAGAGCCTGGATAGGCGCATCCTGGAGTTTCTGGAGGCGAGGACCCGCACCGTCTTGCGAGCGATAATGACCGCAAGCCAGGAGAGGGGCGATGTGGCGCGAAAGTAGGACTTTCACGTCAGGCACCGGTACACCGCCATGCGCATCTTGGGATCGACCTGAGGGTCGATCTTGAAGAGGAGAGGAGTGTGGCGGTGGTACCGGTTGCTGCGAGCCTAGTGCTCGCCGGGGTTGAGTTTGCCCCAGGGGAGGAGTAAGTGTGGTGTTTGTGATTGGTTTTATGTTTGTAATGTATTTCTGTGTGTTTCATGTGCGTTTTGTAAGTGTATTGCAGCAATTACTCACTCACCGCCGGATTCCATGGGGGCTGCCATTAGTCGCAATTGTAACCCCCTCTAGCGCCCGAGAACGGGGCTAGTTTAGAAAAACAGCTGCCGAAAAGTGTGCCGTGTGCAAACCCAGCGTGTTGTTGTGTTTTGAGTGAGCGAGCGGGAAGGTTGGAAATAAAGAGAGAACAGGAGAAGTCATAGAGTACAGGAGAAGTGAGAGTTCAGGGGAGTTAAACGAGTAGCGTGTGAGTGGCTGTTCGGTGAGCGTCTAGAGAAGGAGACACCAAGCGAGGACCGGAGACACGAGAGAGTGAGTACAGTAAGCTGTTGTCGGCACAACGTCGGGGCTGAGTAATAGTAATAGTAAATTAATAATAATAACGTCAACGGCAATAGTAAATAATTGTAATAGTAATTTAATAGATATATTTAATAGAGTAGCAGCCTAGGCGCATCGGGCGTTGAGTGTGTCCCTTGTGTGAGTGGCCGTACGGGTGTTCCGTCAGCCAGCTGCCCCTCCCCTACACGTCATAGTATTATCCGTATCTTTCGAGTAGCCCCGCGTCATAAGGTGCGCCGTGTTGTGTTGTGTCACTGTCTGTCCCGTGACGTCCGTCGTCTGGCATTGTTGACTAACCACACCGAAGCCGGAACGAACGCTGGGTCCGGAGGAGTGAGAGCAGTAGCACTTAGGCGCTCGTGGGGGAGTGGAGACTGAGGTGGCGACGATACGATGCATAAGGTAGGAACGCCTATCTTGTATTTCTCGTTGCCACTATTCACCGTGTAGCACTGCACTATACGTAAGGTTATCGCTAGTTACTGCGTATGGTCAGGTGGCGCCCCCTGGTGTCGCGGAAAGACACGAAAACGCTACATACCTATACACTTCTAGTGCATACCTATAAAGCACTCACGCAGGAAATGTCTATTTTCATTAAAGAGGGGAGATGTTATGATATATGACCTCAAGATGTCGCGTCGAGAACAACGTGTGTGTCATGTGGTATGCTAACATTAATAATTACCGCTCCTGATCGTAACGGCCGCTAGAGGGCCTACTCACCAGAGCGTTAACTCCTTACTATATGAAAGTGGGTGGGTGCTGACTGAGCCAGACCGGCCAATGAGTGAGCAGGTCGCAGCGACTGTGATTAGGTCGTCCAATCAGCGAGCAGGCTTTTGCCTGTCGTCATTTCTCAAGTTATTCAAGTTGAATTTATAACTGCAATTAGTGCACGCTTCTGCCAAAGCCAGATTGTTTCCATCCATCAGGTATTCGCCTTGGGCGAAGTTTTGCCGTATTTACTTCCGTACGCTCGATTGCTCACCGCTAATCAGATTCCACAGCATAACAACCGGGCGATCGATAACGAGGCTCGCGAACTGCTGGCGCCGCGCTCGCTTACAGGCGTTAGTGTAGCCGTGCGGAACATGTGTATTATACAGGTTAGTGGGATGCACGCATGGTGTGGAAGCACTCCAGTTATTCATAAAACATATCTGCGTTGACTATGCACATGTTTGAGCATCAAACATAACAGGCTTATTCCCTATAAGTCTAGGCCGTAGTGTCCCTTCAGTCTATGGTTGGACTGCATATACAGTCTAGAGTATATATATATATATATATATATATATATATATATATATATATATATATATATATATATATATATATATATATATATATATATATATACCCTATTAATGGGTGCATTATGACAAGTGGATCGTCTGAACAGTGGATCATTAATGATTATATTTTTTGGTGGTGTGTGGTAGCAAGAGCACATCAAATATGTGATTCTGGTAGTAATAAGTACTTTCCGAATTGCATACATTTCATGGTAAAATAGTTATGTTTTATTTTATTTATTTTTTATATATTCAGAACCCAACTAAGCCTTCATAAGGCCTTCACCAAGGCATCATACCGATAATCTACACATTTCTATATAAACTTAATAGTGTTACTACATATACTCGATTTTACATTGTAATGAAACACGTCTGCCAACACGTGCAACAATTAGAACATAGATCTACGAAGTATGGATAATATCTTCTGGGTTATCGCATCTCCGATCCTACATGCGCTTCCTAGGTTAACACGCTTAGTGTCACCTACGTTGGTCTAGCGTGTGCACTGACAAATTCTATGAGACTCGGAGGCAGCCTGTTCTCGTATGCAACGCTGTGTCTGACGATAACACGCGCACAGTGGCACTCCAGCGAATGATACTGCGCGCTCATTCTGCCATGTATCTCGTCAATCGACTCCACGTTGCCACGGAAACGCGTCGGTTAAATCCGGCGCCAGAGTTTGTATGGCGTCTCTCCCCGTGCGTTCACCACGTCGACATGTGCACCGTGGTTGAACAGCAGCGCGTGCACTATCTGCACGCACCCTTCCATCTCTCGCGCGTAAACATCACCTTTGCATGCGAGCATCATCCTACAGAAGCTGTGCAGCGGGGTGTCGCCCTCGCTGTCGCGTGTGTTAACCTGTAGAAGTACGCCGGCGGACTCGCACGTCTGTATGAGAGCTGACGCCGCTTGCACCACTGACTCTGCGTCTGCTGTTTCTTCACTCATTCTCACCTCCGCCTCGCTGCCTATTTTAGCGAGCGGAGTCCTCTTGTGACAATCGACTATGTTCGGGTCAGCTCCGTGTTTCAAGAGGCAAGTAATCATCTGTGTAAACGAACGAAACGAGGATCGTTAACAACCCGATTTTAGGTTCGTTTTTGTTCTTAAAGAAGTTTCTCCGAGCATACTACCTTTATTACTGATGCTGATTACTAACTATTACTATTATTAAATTATTAACTATTAACCGATTACTATTACTGATTACCTTTATTATCTAGACAAAAATACATTGGAACATCGCTAAAATTGTCTCCGTCGTTCACAACGTACGCTCGCATTTTCCCTCGGTCCCGAGTAGCTTGCAGGAGTAGTGTAATGCGGTGAAACTATTTATCATATCTATTATTAACTGTTAACCGATTACCATTACTGGTTACCTTTACCATCTATAAGATAATACATTAGGACATTGCTAAAATTGTCTCCGTTGTTCACAACGTACGCCCACATTTTTCCTCGGTCCCGAGTAGATTGCAGGAGTAGTGTAATGTGATGAAACTATTTAACATATCTATTATTAACTGTTAATCGATTACCATTACTGATTAGTAGTGATTACCTTTACCATCTATAAGAAAATACATTAGGGCATTGCTGAAATTCGGTCTCAATCATTCACAATGTACGCCCGTAGTTTTACCTCGGTATGAAGTTGATCACAGGAGAAGTGTAACGCGGTGAAACTCTCAAATTTTTCCGTCACGGCAACGTTGGGGTCTGTGCCGGCCTTCAGTAGCATGCGCATGATGTCCAGCTGGCCAGAGACGACCGCGTGGTGCAGGGAGGTCACTCCGTACGAGTTCGCGGCGTTGGCGTCGGCTCCGTGTGAGAGCAGCATCTGCACCACCGCCTCCTTGCCCTCCTTCACTGCCATCATCAGCGGCGTGTGTCCTGTCTGCGTCTCGGCGGCGTTTGGATCTGCACCGGCCTCCAGTAGCAGGCGCACGATGTCCAGCCAGTCAAAGCAAGCCGCGTGGTACAGGGAGGTCTCTCCTTGCGAGTCCGCGGCGTTGGCGTCGGCGCCGTGTGAGAGCAGCATCCGCACCAACGCCTCCTCACCCTTACTCACCGCCATCATCAGCGGCGTCGCTCCACTCTCCGCATCGTCGACGTTTGGATCTGCACCGGCCTCCAGTAGCAGACGCATGATGTCCAGCTGGCCAAAGCGAGCCGCGTGGTACAGGGTGTTCCTTCTGTCCGAGTCCGCGACATTAGCGTCGGCGCCGTGTGAGAGCAGCATCCGCACCACCGCCTCATCGCCCTTACTCACCGCCATCATCAGCGGCATCTTCCCGCTCATCGTCTCGGCAACGTTGGGGTCGGCGCCGGCCTCCAGTAGCAGGCGCATGATATTCAGCTTGCCACAGTAAGTCGCGTGGTACAGGGAGGTCTCTCCGTGTGAGTTCGCGGCGTTGGCGTTGGCGCCGTGTGAGAGCAGCATCCGCACCGCTGCCTCATCGCCCTTACTCCCCGCCATCGTCAGCGGCGTCGCCCCGCTGTCCGTATTGGCGACGTTGGGGTCGGCGCCGGCCTCCAGTAGCAGGCGCATGATGTCCAGCTGGCCAGAGCTAGCCACGTGGTACAGGGTGGTCTGTCCGTGCAAGTCCGCGGCGTTGGCGTCGGCGCTGTGTGAGAGCAGCATCCGCACCACCGCCTCCTTGCCCTTACTCACCGCCATTATCAGAGGCGTCTCTCTACTGCTCGTCTTGGCAACGTTGATGTCGGCGCCGGCCTCCGGTAGCAGGCGCATGATGTCCAGCTGGCCAACCCAAGCCGCGCGGTACAGTGAGGTCCATCCGTACAAGTCCGCGGCGTTGGGGTCCGCGCCGGCCTCCAGTAACAGGTGCATGAGGTCCAGCCGGCCAGAGCGAGCCGCGATGTGCAGGGAGGTCTGTCCGTGCAAGTCCGCGGCGTTGGCGTCAGCGCCGTGTAAGAGCAGCATCTGCACCACCGCCTCCTTGCCCTTACTCACCGCCAATATCAGCGGCGTTGCTCTACTGTTCGTCATGGCAACGTTGGGGGTCGGCACCGGCCTCCAGTAGCAGGCGCATGATGTCCAGCTGGCCAGAGCTAGCCGCGTTGTACAGGGAGGTCCGTCCGTACGAGTCCGTGGCGTTGGCGTCGGCGCCGTGTGAGAGCAGCATCCGCACCACTGCCACCTCGCCCTCCCACGCCGCCATCATCAGCGGCGTCGCTCTACTGTTCATCATGGCGACGTTGGGGTCGGAGCCGGCCTCCAGTAGCAGGCGCATGATGTTCAGCTGGCCAGAGCAATCCGGCGATAAGACCCGCGCGTTCCCGCCGGCCATGGCTGCGTGCTGCATTGTTCCGTCGCCATGGTAAAGCGCGCGGAGCTCCGCTCCATTGCCTAGCATCGCGGCTGCAACATCCGCGCTGGCTGTTTCGCAGGCGAGCATGAGAGGCGTTCGCCCGCGCTCATCCTCCTCTTGCAGGAGCGCGCCATGCAGCAGCAGCTGTTTCACAATCTCCATCTTCTCTTCTGTCCTGTCCCGCGAAAGTGCGCAGGCGACGTGGAGAGGCGTCTCCATGCGTAAGTTCACGCACGATGTTTTCGCTCCACCTCGCAGAAGTTTTAACACTTTCTTAACATCCCCACGTGAACAGGCAGCATGCAGGTCTGACATTCTTCCCCCAACTGTAGGCACACACTGTGCGTCTTTCTGTTGCGAGGGTCCAGTGCAGTTCACCTACCTAAAATGCACACTGATGTTCACGAAGGCATGTAAAGTTGATTGCGATATTAATATAGTGCATGACAAATCGAAATCAGCTTTGTTCTCCACGTATTTACATTTTCTGTAAATGCGGGCTTATGTCGGGCTTGCGAGCCAACTCGACTGGAAGCAACTGGATTTCGAGCAACTGGAAGCGATCGGCAGCGACTAGTTGCATCCAGTTGCCCACTGTTCTATTCCGAGCAACAAGTGGCGGCCAGTCGCAAGCAGTTGCGTCGCAGTCGACCGAGCTAAGCACTGCAGTCGCAGTGAATTGCAGCCAGTTGCTTCCAGTCGAGTCGGCTCGCAAGCCCGACATAAGCCCGCCTTAAAACTTATCTGGATCACATTAATAAACCCTTCTAAACACTGTCACTTCTACAACATACCTTGATTTACGGACT